AGCGCTTTATCAAAGACTCTCAAAGCGCTTTTACAGATACACATTACACATACAGATCATACATGCAATGGTCATCTACTGTGGACAATACCCACAGGAGCAAATCCGGGTGAAGTGTCTTCAAGGACACAACGGCCTGACGCAGTGGGGCGGGAGCGGGTTTCGAACTGGAGTTCACCAACTCCCCCTTGATCTGATGATCAAACGCACAGACCACTGCGCCACCCGTCCCTTTGATGTGCTATTCATTTCTTCCAAAAACTCAACCTCTTCCATTGTGTTGCAACATCCACGTAGACAGATAGCATAAGAATGCAGTGCTTTTCTATCTTCACTCTTGATGGCATTCCAGTTCAACATGTTGTCCAAACAAGCTGCTGCGATTAAGAGCTGATGTCCATAGTTCTCTTGGAGCAGGCTTTTGGCTTCCAAAAAGCCCTTTTAGATTCCATGGTCTTCAGCCTGGCCTTCTGTGTCCTGCTCCAGAAAGAACAGCCTGTCTTTGTGTCAGTGTTATCTTCTATTGTATGCTGGAACATTCTGATGAATGAAAGGTACTGTGATGGCTCTCCTTTAAAGATGGGTATTTCTCTGGATGGGAGTAATGTTAAGCGTTGCTCCTTCATCAGCATTTCAGTGATTTCGTTTTGCCGCTGCATTACTTGAATAAAGTCATTGCTTTCTGTCCGAGAGCTTTGTCTGACTTGGATGGAGTGATGCTGCTGTGCTGATGCTGCTGTCCTTGTTGTGGGCCCTGGTTGTAATACTTGGACATGACCACTAGGGGCTGCATGATTTGAGTTCATTGAATTTGAGTATACGAAACTTTTTTTATTGTCCTTCTCCACAGGTTTTCCTTGGTTCTCTTCATCCTGGAAATCATCACTTTCATCTGGCTGACCCGTGTCATACTGCTCCCCCCCCCCCCCCCCCCCCCCCCCCCCCCCCCCCCACACGAGGGTCAGAGTCATCATCCTCAGAAGCTTCCAATGTTTTAATTTTGGCTGTTGCAGCATCAATATCAGTTTGAAGCTCAAGCTTTTCCATGTCAGCTCTGATATTGGCTTTCATTGCTTCCAGGTCAGCTTCTTGTTTTTCAAGTGAGTGTTTCTGTAATAAGGCAGCAGCGCGTGATCTGAGCGCAGCTCTCTCTGCCTCTGCCTTTCTTCTTACTGATGAAGCTGTTGATCTGAGCACAGCTCTCTCTGCCTCTGCCTTTCTTCTTACTGATGAAGCTGTTGATCTGAGCACAGCTCTCTCTGCCTCTGCCTTTCTTCTTACTGATGAAGCTGTTGAAGATGTATTGCTGCCACAAGAACTTTTACCTTTTTTGCTTATCATGCCCACTGATGTTGCTTTATGTGGACTTGATGTATGTGCAGTATATGAGCCATGGTCAGAAGGAGGCACATGCTCAAAGGAGGCAGCTCTCGATTACCATTTCTTCATCACATCTTGAAACTCATTGAAATATGCAATTTTTGGGAGATACCAGTCAACATGATCACTTTCTTGTTCTTGCTCTGAGTAATGTGAGTTTGAAAACTCTTTGGAGAATATTTGAAAAACCCCATGACAACCTTGCATCTCAATGATATTCCCATAATCAATCATGAGTGAATCAAATCTCGTTTTCTTTCCTTGAGACTTGACCCAATTTCGTTCTCCTTTTTTAAATTAACTGCGCCAGTTTATCTTCTAAAGCCTTTTCTGTAGGTCTTATTGTTCTTTTTGGTCTGACGTCAGCATTTTCCACGGGCACACGTTCATTCCCGTTTGGGTCCATAGGACTTTCATTCGTTTCCACATTTTCTTTTTCAGCCATTGTTATGCTTTATCGTCATTAAACATCCACTTGTAAACAGCTGTCCTTATTTTAATGTTGCGCTTTGTTATTGTGCGGCTGGGATCCGCGGCAGTAAGCCAGATAGACAAACTTATTAAAGCGCTTTTCAAGATGCGCTCCTTGAGTTACGTTCCACACTTTATTCATAGGCAAATTTATTCCACTTCCAGCATTAGATTATAATGTATTGCAACATCCACAACATGACAGGCCTTTTTCCACAGAAATCCACGTTGTCACAATCCAGAAAGTCAATGCAGTCCTTCCTTGTTCACTCTGAAGTCCGTGATTTGTGAACTCACGATTCACATCCGCTCGTATCCATTCATTTCCAAGAGTATTTCATTCATTATAATAAGATGGTGGCAACCATTTAATTCCACACGGATTTGTCCGTCACGAGAGCTTTTAACAGTGTCGTGGCTTCCTGCCTTGTTTTTCCACCAAGCCACTAGACGCCTTAAACAGACAGTTCTAACTCGTGTCTGAAAGTACTCAGTCTGAAGAGCTGCTCGGCCTCCGATGGGTTAGAACATGTTTTTGCTCAAAATAACATAAACTTTTGCAACAAAGAAAACAGGCCTTTACAATATTCAACAGAAAGAGGCAAAACTCAAATAAACAACAAACAACTAGGTATTCTTTCTTTCGTGATAATGCTTATAACTTCACAACTTAAAGGGTACTTGTACGGTTTACGAGTACGGTTAAAAACTGTTCCACGACGGCGTCTCTCAACAGGTTGCCCATCACTGTGGCGTTAGCCCAGGCGCCCTGGGAATTGTAGTCCTTTATAGTGCGTTGACTACAGACGTCACAATTAGGTGGCCTTTCTTATCAAATCAAAATACTGGCTCTAACACTGAGTACACACAGAGTACTTTGAGTACATACTCAGTACTTTGAGTACATACTGAGTACATACTTAGTACACACGGAGTACACACTCAGTACACACTCAGTACTTTGAGTACATACTGAGTACACACGGAGTACACACTCGGTACTTTGAGTACATATTGAGTACACACTGTGTACTTTGAGTACAGGTCAGTCTCACCTCAGACTTCTTCCACCTTTGGGAACACTTTGTAACTCTCTGTGGGGGCCTGGATGCTCTCTGTGGGGGCCTGGATGCTCTCTGTGGGGGCCTGGATGCTCTCTGTGGGGGCCTGGATGCTCTCTGTGGGGGCCTGGATGCTCTCTGTGGGGGGGCCTGGATGCTCTCTGTGGGGGGCCTGGATGCTCTCTGTGGGGGCCTGGATGCTCTCTGTGGGGGGGCCTGGATGCTCTCTGTGGGGGCCTGGATGCTCTCTGTGGGGGCCTGGATGCTCTCTGTGGGGGCCTGGATGCTCTCTGTGGGGGGGCCTGGATGCTCTCTGTGGGGCCTGGATGCTCTCTGTGGGGGGGCCTGGATGCTCTCTGTGGGGGCCTGGATGCTCTCTGTGGGGGCCTGGATGCTCTCTGTGGGGCCTGGATGCTCTCTGTGGGGCCTGGATGCTCTCTGTGGGGGGGCCTGGATGCTCTTGTGGGGGGCCTGGATGCTCTCTGTGGGGGCCTGGATGCTCTCTGTGGGGGCCTGGATGCTCTCTGTGGGGGCCTGGATGCTCTCTGTGGGGGGGCCTGGATGCTCTCGTGGGGGGCCTGGATGCTCTCTGTGGGGGCCTGGATGCTCTCTGTGGGGGGCCTGGATGCTCTCTGTGGGGGCCTGGATGCTCTCTGTGGGGGTCCTGATGCTCTCCTGGGGGGGGCCTGGATGCTCTCTGTGGGGGCCTGGATGCTCTCTGTGGGGGCCTGGATGCTCTCTGTGGGGGGCCTGGATGCTCTCTGTGGGGGCCTGGATGCTCTCTGTGGGGGCCTGGATGCCTCTCTCTGTGGGGGCCTGGATGCTCTCTGTGGGTGGCCTGGATGCTCTCTGTGGGGGCCTGGATGCTCTCTGTGGGGGCCTGGATGCTCTCTGTGGGGGGGCCTGGATGCTCTCTGTGGGGGCCTGGATGCCTCCTGTGGGGCCTGGATGCTCTCTGTGGGGGGCCTGGATGCTCTCTGTGGGGGCCTGGATGCTCTCTCTGTGGGGGGCCTGGATGCTCTCTGTGGGGGCCTGGATGCTCTCTGTGGGGGCCTGGATGCTCTCTGTGGGGGCCTGGATGCTCTTGTGGGGGGGCCTGATGCTCTCTGTGGGGGGCCTGGATGCTCTCTGTGGGGGGCCTGGATGCTCTCTGTGGGGGGCCTGGATGCTCTCTGTGGGGGGCCTGGATGCTATCTGTGGGGGGCCTGGATGCTCTCTGTGGGGGGGCCTGGATGCTCTCTGTGGGGGGGCCTGGATGCCTCTCTGTGGGGGGGCCTGGATGCTCTCTGTTGGGGCCTGGATGCTCTCTGTGGGGGCCTGAATGCTCTCTGTGGGGGGGCCTGGATGCTCTCTGTGGGGGGGCCTGGATGCTCTCTGTGGGGGCCTGGATGCTCTCTGTGGGCGCCTGGATGCTCTCTGTGGGGGGGCCTGGATGCTCTCTGTGGGGGGGCCTGGATGCTCTCTGTGGGGGGGCCTGGATGCTCTCTGTGGGGGCCTGGATGCTCTCTGTGGGCGCCTGGATGCTCTCTGTGGGGGGGCCTGGATGCTCTCTGTGGGGGGGCCTGGATGCTCTCTGTGGGGGGGCCTGGATGCTCTCTGTGGTGGCCTGGATGCTCTCTGTGGGGGGGCCTGGATGCTCTCTGTGGGGGCCTGGATGCTCTCTGTGGGCGGCTGGATGCTCTCTGTGGGGGGGCCTGGATGCTCTCTGTGGGGGCCTGGATGCTCTCTGTGGGGGGGCCTGGATGCTCTCTGTGGGGGGGCCTGGATGCTCTCTGTGGGGCCTGGATGCTCTCTGTGGGGGCCTGGATGCTCTCTGTGGGGGCCTGGATGCTCTCTGTGGGCGCCTGGATGCTCTCTGTGGGCGGCTGGATGCTCTCTGTGGGGGGCCTGGATGCTCTCTGTGGGGGGCCTGGATGCTCTCTGTGGGGGCCTGGATGCTCTCTGTGGGGGCTGGATGCTCTCTGTGGGGGCCTGGATGCTCTGTGTGGGCTGGATGCTCTCTGTGGGGGCCTGGACGCTCTCTGTGGGGGGCCCTGGCTGCTCGGATGCTCTCTATGGGGCCTGGATGCTCTCTGTGGGGGGGCCTGGCTGCTCTCTGTGGGGGGCCTGGCTGCTCTCTGTGGGGCCTGGATGCCCTCTGTGGGGGGCTGGCTGTTCACTAACCCCTCACTGATGGTGTTATAATGAACGCACTGCAGACACAAAGAAGTATTAAATATAAACTAGAGATGAACCCTGACCCCTGACCCCCCCCCCAGCAGGGAGAGGACCAGAGGCTTCAGGCTCCTTGGGAGTATTATGGTCTGTCCTAATGAGCGCGTGAGCTCCAGCTGTTTGAAAGGATCCACTTGCTGAGCTCTTTAGTCTTTAGTGAAGTTCTAATGTTTCACCCTCTTTCACTTCATCATATTAAAGGATTATTAAAATATTAAACATGTTTTGGTTTTCAGAAGCGTGTGTGTTTGGGGGCGGAGTCTGAGTGTCCAATGGAAACGTCGCTCACCTTCACAGCGTCCAATCAGCAGCCAGAGCAGCAGGTGAGTCTTATTGAATAAATCATTATAATGTTATATATCCAGATGCATTATGGTCCGTTTCCTCCTCAGGTGTGTGTGGTTCAGTCCAGGTCTGCTCTCTGCTGCCCCCGCTGCCTCGCAGGAGAACCGGTCAGATTACACATCATCATCATCATCACCTCGCTCTCCGCAGGTGACTCAGGCTCTGACTCTACCTGTGTTCCTGTTTCAGGGTCACATCAAACACATCCTGGGTCTGTGACGAGCCAACAGGAAGTCCCCTCCTCCCTCCCACAGCCGTCCAATCAGAATCCCCTCCTGCTGGATGATGTCATCTGGCCCCCTGGAAGGACCAATCAGCTGCTTGTGTCCGATGTCTTCGCACGTTTCATCTGAACGTCACGAGAAGCGGGAACGTTCCAATATTGGGAGTACTGCTCCTTTAATGTCAAGCCCCGCCCCCTCTCCCAGCCAATCACAGAGCTTCCAGCTGCAACCCTGCAGTCTGATTGGCTCTCCTGACAGCTGTGGAAACTAAAGGTCACTCCAGAGCCTGAAGACCAATGAGAGCAGCAGAGGTGTTTTATTTTGAAAATCCCCCCGCATGCACTTCCTGTCCGTCTCTGCCCAGGTGGAAGTGAAATCTGATTCCACTTCCTGTTCCTCAGGAGACGCTCGTTAAGGACCTTAAATATTGATTACTCTAAGAGTTAACACCCGGTGAAACCAGAGCGTTTCTGTCAGACAGGAAGCAGATAAAGTTTAATTGAAGAGTAACCGCTTCCTGTTTATATTTTTATATCCGTTTTATAAATCTGACTGAATGTAAAGCAGTGACCAATCACAGCGCAGCGTTTTGTACCGCAACTGATTTCAAAATAAAAGTCCCTGACTGAAAAACTGTTTCCTGTTCAATAAAGAAATAAACTTTATTCACAAAACACATGAGAAACATTCAACGCAAAGAGATCATTCAGGATGATTATGGGATGCCTAGAACAATAAATCACTTAGTCCCGCCCCTCAGCTGTCAATCACCGCGCCAGGCTTGGCTCTCTTGGCTGCAGGAGGGTCACCTGCACAGGTAAACACAGGTACAGGTAAGTATATATGAACTGATACATCATGATCTGTTGCTAGGAGACCATCTACCTGTGTCTACCGGTTGTCTTTGTGGGCGGGGCCTCCGGGTGCTGCACTGTGTAGATGATGCCGCTCGCAGTTTCCTGGCTTTCTGACACACACAGTATTACTGTTTGACAGTAGTATGTACAATAGTAATAATAAACAGGTGCTCAAAGACAACAGCGGTGATAAAAGGGAAATAAAATCAAATACAATATGAAAACAGCAACACAACATTATTCACACATTAAAAGCCAGTCTGAAGAGGTGTGTTCTGGTGAGGTTTTGAGGTGGGGGGTCAGTCTCTGATGTGGGAGTGAGTTCCAGAGGGAGGGGCCTGGCGGTGCAGCAGGTCAGTGAGGGGGCCTGGTGGGGTGCAGCAGGTCAGTGAGGGGGCCTGGTGGTTGCAAGCCAGGTCTAGTGAGGGGCCTGGCGGTGCAGCAGGTCCGTGAGGGGGCCCTTATGGTGCCGCAGGTTGGTCAGTGAGGGGCCTGGCGGTGCAGCAGGTCAAGTGAGGGGAACCTGGCGGTTGCTGTGCAGTTGCAGCAGGTCAGTGACGGGAGGCTGGTGGTGCAGCAGGTCAGTGAGGGGGCCTGATGGTGCCAGCAGGTCAGTTAGGCGGTGGTGTGTGGTGCAGAAGATCAGTGAGGGGGCATGGCGGTTGCAGCAGGTCAGTGAGGGGGCGTGGTGGTTGCAGAAGGTCAGTGAGGGGGCCTGGCGGTGCAGCAGGTCAGTGAGGGGGCCTGGCGGTGCAGCAGGTCAGTGAGGGGGCGTGGCGGTGCAGCAGGTCAGTGAGGGGGCCTGGTGGTGCAGCAGGTCAGCGAGGGCGGGCGTGGGTGGCTTTGGCTTGCAGAGGCAGGTCAGTGAGGGGGCCCTGGCGGTGCAGCAGGTCAGTGAGGGGGGGCCTGGCGGTGCAGCAGGTCAGTGAGGGGGCCTGGCGGTTGCAGCAGGTCAGTGAGGGGGCCTGGCGGTTTTTGCCAGCAGGTCAGTGAGGGGGCCTGGCGGTGCAGCAGGTCAGTGAGGGGGCCTGGTGGTGCAGCAGGTCAGTGAGGGGGGCCTGGCGGTGCAGCAGGTCAGTGAGGGGGCCTGGCGGTGCAGCAGGTCAGTGAGGGGGCCTGGTGGTGCAGCAGGTCAGTGAGGGAGGAGGGGGTTAGAGTGGCGTTGTTGAGGTTGAAGTTCTGGGTGGTGTTGGTGCGGGATGGGGGTTAGATTATAATGATTTGTCCCTGTTCAGTTGAAGGTAGTTTGTGCATCCATGATTTAAGGTGAGTGGTGAGTGTGGAGTGATGGTGTTTATGGAGATGTAAAGTTGGATGTCAGCAGTATTAGTATCTGTAGTATGTACAGTAGTAGTATTAGTAGTACTTGTACCTGCGTGCAGCACCACTGATCGGCAGGAGGAGGAAACGGCATCTTTAGAATCTCCGTCTGTCAGACCGAACAACAAACCTCTGAGCAGCACTCAGGAAACACACACACACTGTTTTTTACACACACACACACACACACAGCAGTTGTTTTGGACCAATAGGAAGGATACAGGTTGGTGATGTCATAGGGCCCTCTGAGCTCCAGAGGCTGAGGAAACATCATTGATTAGTAATTAATAGTTCTTGATGATGTAATAATCAGCTGTTCCTGACTGACCGTTTCTGCGGCGCTGCTCAGGATCACGTTCTGAAACACAGTGACGGACAGGTGAGTGATGCTGCAGGCCCCGCCCCCTCTGACATCACTATGACATCACAGACCTACCCTGCCCCTGCAGCTCTCCATCAGCGCGGTGCTGTTAGCGATGGTGTAGCGCCGCCTGGTGGAGTCTCTGAGCGCTGCAGCGTACGAGACCTCGAACACAACGCCTCGCTCTGTGGCCTGCACACACACACACACACACACACACACACACCGTTATAGTATGTTGGACGTTTTTAAAAAGTAATGAATAATAATAACTTTAACTCTCACCCCGTTGACCGGCGCTCTCTTGAAGATAAACGGGAGTTTCTCCGTCACTGAGATACAGATGATGTCCACGTCACAGATCATACAGGCTGCCTGCACACACACACACACACACGTATACATCACTTCAGGGGACATTACATTGACTTACATGCATTTCCTGGAGACTTATCCTAACCTTAACCAAGTCTTCACCCTAAAATGTATGATTCCCCTCATGGGGTCCTCCATTTTGTCCCCATAAGGGAGGCGAGTCCCCACACGTGACTGTAAACAGATTTAGGTCCCCACAAGTATAGTAATGCTAGGACACACACACACACACAGTAGAGCAAGAGGGCCAAATCCAGCCCTCGACTTCATTTAATGTGACCCACAAGATAATACGTTTATTATACGGTTACATGCCGCTTTACAGAAGCACGCTGCCCATAAACTACATGTCCCACAATGCATCTCATTTTGTGACATGCACACTGAAGAGTCTTGCAATTATTTGCCCCATACTTCTGCTTTCAGACGTAGTTAATAGGGGTGTAACGGTATACGCATTCGTACCGCCCTTCGGTACGGTACAAGTCCTAATGTCAAACTGGCTGCTTAGGTACAGATACAGATCATTTCAGTTCATCGAAATGCTGCACATTAATGTTTATTTTATTATGTATTTATTTGAGTGAATATTCACGGTTTAATAATAATTAAAAAAATCTATATATTTGTGATCATTTTTTTCTGCTGTACCGAAAACGTACCGAACCGTAACCTAAAAACCGAGGTACGTACCGAACTGTTTGTGAACCGTTACACCGCTAGTAGTTAATCATGAAGTTATTACCCCATCAGATAATAACCCACTGCAGAGGCACCAGATGCAACACAGTGTTACGTTGTCTCACGTGGAACAGCTTCTCTGTGGTCGGCTGAACAGCCAGCAGGTCGAACCCCCTATACTCTGCCGCCGTCGCTCTCTGAGGGTCACATGCACACAGGACTGAGGTCAACAACAACACCATCACATGTACACAGACTGAGGTCAACAACAACATCACATGTACACAGACTGAGGTAAACAACAACATCACATGTACACAGACTGAGGTCAACAACATCACATGCACACAGACTGAGGTCAACAACAACACCATCACATGTACACAGACTGAGGTAAACAACAACAACACATGTACACAGAATGAGGTCAACAACAACACCATCACATGTACACAGACTGAGGTAAACAATAACATCACATGTACACAGACTGAGGTCAACAACATCACATGCACACAGACTGAGGTCAACAACAACACCATCACATGTACACAGACTGAGGTCAACAACATCACATGCACACAGAATGAGGTCAACAACAACACCATCACATGTACACAGACTGAGGTCAACAACAACATCACATGTACACAGACTGAGGTAAACAACAACATCACATGTACACAGACTGAGGTAAACAACAACATCACATGTACACAGACTGAGGTCAACAACACATGCACACAGACTGAGGTCAACAACAATACCATCACATGTACACAGACTGAGGTAAACAACAACATCACATGTACACAGACTGAGGTCAACAACAACAACAACCACATGCACACAGACCTGAGTCAACAACATCACATGCACACAAACTGAGGTCAACAAACAATACCATCACATGTACACAGACTGAGGTAAACAACAACATCACATGTACACAGACTGAGGTCAACAACAACAACAACATCACATGCACACAGACTGAGGTCAACAACAACACCATCACATGTACACAGACTGAGGTCAACAACAATACCATCACATGTACACAGACTGAGGTCAACAACAATACCATCACATGTACACAGACTGAGGTCAACAACAACAACAACAACATCACAGTAAATACCATCACATGTACACAGACTGAGGTAAACAACAACATCACATGTACACAGACTGAGGTCAACAACACAACAACATGCACACAGACTGAGGTCAACAACAACAACAACATGTACACAGACTGAGGTCAACAACAATACCATCACATGTACACAGACTGAGGTCAACAACAACACCATCACATGCACACAGACTGAGGTCAACAACAACAACATCACAGTAAATACCATCAAATGTACACAAACTGAGGTCAACAACAACAACATCACAGTAAATACCATCACATGTACACAAACTGAGGTAAACAACAACAACATCACAGTAAATACCATCACATGTACACAGACTGAGGTCAACAACAACATCACAGTAAATACCATCACATGCACACAAGCTGAGGACAACAACAACAACACAGTAAATACCATCACATGCACACAAACTGAGGTCAACAACAACAACATCACAGTAAATACCATCACATGTACACAAACTGAGGTCAACAACAACAACATCACAGTAAATACCATCACATGCACACAAACTGAGGTCAACAACAACAACACAGTAAATACCATCACATGCACACAAACTGAGGTCAACAACAACAACACAGTAAATACCATCACATGTACACAGACTGAGGTCAACAACAACAACACAGTAAATACCATCACATGTACACAGACTGAGGTCAACAACAACAACAACAACACAGTAAATACCATCACATGCACACAAACTGAGGTCAACAACAACAACAACAACACAGTAAATACCATCACATGTACACAGACTGAGGTCAACAACAACAACAACAACACAGTAAATACCATCACATGTACACAAACTGAGGTCAACAACAACATCACAGTAAATACCATCACATGTACACAAACTGAGGTCAACAACAACATCACAGTAAATACCATCACATGTACACAGACTGAGGTCAACAACAACAACACAGTAAATACCATCACATGTACACAAACTGAGGTCAACAACAACAACACAGTAAATACCATCACATACACACAAGCTAAGGTCAACAACAGCATCACAGTAAATACCATCACATGTACACAAACTGAGGTCAACAACAACAACACAGTAAATACCATCACATGCACACAAACTGAGGTCAACAACAACATCACAGTAAATACCATCACATGTACACAAACTGAGGTCAACAACAACAACACAGTAAATACCATCACATGCACACAAACTGAGGTCAACAACAACAACACAGTAAATACCATCACATGTACACAGACTGAGGTCAACAACAACACAGTAAATACCATCACATACACACAAACTGAGGTCAACAACAACATCACAGTAAATACCATCACATGCACACAAACTGAGGTCAACAACAACATCACAGTAAATACCATCACATGCACACAAACTGAGGTCAACAACAACAACACAGTAAATACCATCACATGTACACAGACTGAGGTCAACAACACAGTAAATACCATCACATGCACACAAGCTGAGGTCAACAACAACAACACAGTAAATACCATCACATGTACACAGACTGAGGTCAACAACAACAACACAGTAAATACCATCACATACACACAAACTGAGGTCAACAACAACAACACAGTAAATACCATCACATGTACACAAACTGAGGTCAACAACAACATCACAGTAAATACCATCACATGCACACAAGCTGAGGTCAACAACAACATCACAGTAAATACCATCACATGTACACAAACTGAGGTCAACAACAACAACACAGTAAATACCATCACATGCACACAAGCTGAGGTCAACAACAACATCACAGTAAATACCATCACATGCACACAAACTGAGGTCAACAACAACAACACAGTAAATACCATCACATGCACACAAACTGAGGTCAACAACAACATCACAGTAAATACCATCACATGCACACAAACTGAGGTCAACAACAACATCACAGTAAATACCATCACATGCACACAAACTGAGGTCAACAACAACATCACAGTAAATACCATCACATGCACACAAACTGAGGTCAACAACAACATCACAGTAAATACCATCACATGTACACAAACTGAGGTCAACAACACAGTAAACAACATCACATGCACACAAACTGAGGTCAACAACAACAACACAGTAAATACCATCACATGCACACAAACTGAGGTCAACAACAACATCACAGTAAA